CTCTTGCAAACGCTGGCATTACTGTAATTGGTGTTAGCATCCACAAGTGCTGATGATTTCCTGAAGAATTTACTTCTTTAATGGCAAAACAGAAATCACACACCTTCTGTACAACGGCGCTAATTAGTGCAGAGGTGGAGTCTTCACTAACAGATTCTCTGTCACCCCTTCTCACCTCTAAGGACTGACTTCCTTTGATAATAATTGTAGTTACATTTAACCAAAGCCATTAGCTTTTTTTTAAAAAAAAAAGAGCAGCTCCTAAAGACCAAAGCTGAGAAATGCTGGAGATGAGGGTTGCAGAGAGATCAGAGGATTTATTCAAGGCCCTGGTGAGAGCCTTTGCTTTCTCTGGGTGGGAGTGCAGCACTCTTGGCTAGAAGCATAAACAGCTCGTATTTCTTTTGTCATGTTCACTGAAACCTTTAAAGCTTGCAAATGAAAAAAATGTTCATAAATATCAGGCTATAATATGCTACACCATCCTGGATTGCATGGCAATAACATGACTGTAATTATGAAGGAAATCTTCTATCATAAGAACCATAAAAAAGGTTATTTACACTATGACTCTCACCTTAGAAAAATTCCCGTATGAAGAATACTTTAACACCTGCACTTCAATTTTCAGTAAAAAGTTATTTCTTATGCTTACAAACTCCACAGCTTCATTAAAGAAATCTGATTTTTAAGATGAAGTACGTACACTCTGACTTCAAAGGTCAGCCTATCCTCTCTGCCTTAATAAAGGAAAGTGGGAAGAGCTGTGCTCAGTCTCAGTTTTGCATTAACAGAGATCAGAGCCACCACTCGTGTCCTACTGAACGTGCAGAAACCCCAGGGAGACCTGTCGGAGGCAGGTGGCCCTCCCCAGCGCCGGGTCGGGTCCTGTCGTCGCACCGGGGCGGGCTGCAGCCTGGAGGCTTCGGTCCCCCCATCCCAGCGGAGCCTGGTGCCATCCTCCAGTGTCCCCCCGGGGCACTATGGTTTCTGGAAGGCAGCAAGGTTGGCTGACTTCCCAGCATGGACCTCTGCACACTTGGGGTTATTCTCAGAAGGAACAGGCCCCTGCCTCTCCCTGGGCATCACACGAAAAGGCTCGAGCCCAGCCTGGGGCACGGGGAGAGGCACCAAACTGCCACGTGTCCAAGGGAAGAGAAATCCCCTGAGCACTCCTGAGCCCCAAGGCGGGGGCCTGCACACCCTCCACCCCACTCCGGCAGCCCTTTCCTGCTCTCTCTCGAAATCCAGGTGGCTAACTGCATGTAACTGGAAGAATTAATATCGAAAAGTCCATCTCGAGCTGTGGGTAGTTTGCATGTCCCACCTCTGCTCTAGAAACCCTGCAGGTAAGGAGGGGAACACTCTCCCAGGAGCTCAAGACAAGAAATGTTGCAGGGTGCCACGAGGTGTCCGTGCCCTGCCCAGGGTTTTCACATGCTGCGGGCACCTCAAAGCGATCCTGTCCAGACAGCCTGCCAGAGGTGACACACGTTGAAAACACACCACCATTTCCCTGAGGCCCGTGCCAGACCGTCTACCCATCCCCAACGTAGCCCCAGAGCCTGGCCATGCCCAGCACCCTGGGGCACCCGGCCCTCACAGCCACCTAAGGAGGGAAAATCCCAGCTGGAGGGTATTGGCACTGCTGCAGCGAGGGCAGCTCCTCTCAGCAGGGTTTCACCCTACATGTCTGGAGCATGCATGGTCCTAACCTCTGCTCTGGCCTTCCCTGTACAACATAAGGCAGGCAGCATCTGCAAGTAGTTCTTGTATCAGGACAAGCATGAATGCATGTGTATACATGATGAGATAAGAGAACAGGGCTTGCTTTTAGGCTCCTGAGGATTTATTCTAGCTTGGAAATCCATCTCTCCATTCTCACTGTAATTCAGCTTGTGCAATGGCCCAAGGAGAGCAGGCAGCTGGGTCTAGCCTTTCATGCTCTCAATGTCAGCCCAGCAGCTGAGGAACAAGGGCCTGTCACAGGCTGAGATCCAGATTTTGTAGGAAGAGGAGCTACAGCTCCATGGAAGATATCTTGTACATGAGACTGAAGCAAAGACAGAGGGAAGCGAGACCAAGTACTACTACCTCCAACAGAAAACATACATCCCTCGGTGTGGTGGCACCAGGCCTGGAAAGCATTCAAAACTCATTCTTCTTAGAAAATTCATAAGGCACAGCCATCTGCCCGGCAGCCAGCTCTCCAGGCTCCCATCCTTTTTCTACATCTTCCCTGCTTTGTGTGAATGTCATGGGGGTGAGGAAGCTTCTGCCTCCCAACTGCCCAAAGCCAGGTCCAAAAAGGAGGGAGAGATGGAGACGGCTGTCTGGTGCCTGGCTGAAGGGCTGGGACGGTGGAATATCAATCTCCTGTAGTGGTAAAGGGTTTTCAAGTGCCTCCACCGCTGGTAGATAAGGGCTGGGACCATCGCACATATCAGGCATCAATCCTTACATACAGCTATCAAGTCTTAGGACCCCAGGAAAGAAGATTGAACTTTGAACCCCAATCTGTACAACGAATATGTCCCTTCAATGTATTTCTTAAATCTACACAGTCCATGGCAAGCCCAGGACCTCACAACTGTTTATTTAAATAAATAAATAAATAAATAAATAAATAAAACTGTTAGGTGCAGACCATGACTTAAGTAATGTTAAGTGAATAATTCATGCAGTATTTATAATTGATGTGAGATTTAACAGGAGCAGAGCTGTAAGTGGCTTTCTATTAACTATTTATGCTCTCAGCCCGCCACTTGACAAGCATGGCTGGGCTCTGAGATCACAGCTCTCCTGCGATGTTTTATTTAAGCATCACTAAGAGTACACACAGTCTGGAGGAATGCCTCTGCTTTCAGGGAGCGTTATCCTCCTCTGCGAGGCAGCCCCGGGCCCACTACACGCCTCTGTCACCGTTTGCTCAAAAGGCTCCCTGATTCCCGTGGCGCGAAGCACTCGGGCCAGCAGGAGCCGACCCGCGGGGCAGGACCCGGGAAGGGCCTCGGACATGACTGGGTTTTCTGTGCAAACTCATCTACAGCAGGGTTTCCTTAACCGTTTCCTCCTGCATCTGGCTACAGCAGATGTCAGATAAGCCCAAATATCTGGGTGTTTGGATAAAGCCAGGTGCCCTTTAGTATTTGCTTATGAGCTTGTCTTTTTATGGGCTTTTATCCCTTGTTCCAGGGAGGCGTCTCTAAAATCCCTTTCAAATTTCTTGGAAAACATCAATTGTGAGAACAGAAGCATGATAAGAAGACCAAGTATCTTGCTATACCCGTGATTTACATTTCTATATGAAACATTCCAAAAGCTTCTAAAAATATATGCTCAAATACAAAAAAGCAGTCAAAAGAATCCATCCATATCCTAACAGACAGCACATCTGTGTTTCAAAACATTGCGCTTCTAACAAAGCTGCAATAAATATACAGTTTTCATAGCAACTGAAGTCGTGTTTCGCTCCCGGTGCCAGCAGAGAACGCCGCAGGAATCCCAGCGCCGGGCTTGCCTTCCGCCGGGCGACGCGGCCGGCGCTGCACCCAGCCCGGAGCCCGGGAGCAGCCCGGCGCCTTCCCAGCCTCACCAGGAACAACAGGGGCTCATCAAGTAAAGCTTCTTATTTTAAAATCTTAGCGCTTTGGAGAGCGTTGATGGCTGCACAGCCTCAGACCTAGCGGCAGGTTTCATTTCTCGCCTGGGCGAGAAGGGTCCCTCCAGCAGCGAGCGCTACAACCGAGCACGTAGGACTCGAGGGGCGCAGCAAGGACAAAGCATGCATGCAGCATACTCAGAAGACGGGAAACAACAGACACTAAACCACCATTCCCTTTAGAAAGGCTGGCAGCCTCAGGGCAAAATAAATGGTGAAATCTACTTGATTGGTAAATACAAGATTATTAATAAAATAACTGCTTCTAGCATGGCCGTAATCTTTCAATTACTGCTTGGAAGTAACACTTCCCTTTCATTTACTAAAATAAACCCACCGTGAAAAGAAACGCTCGCAGAAGGCTGTAAAATGAAAGTGAGTCTATTTTTGCCTTACTCCCGATCTGTCTGGGCTCTGCGCACGCAGAGCAGGGTAGCTGTCTGGCACAGCGGCTCGGCGGCAGGCGCTCTCGCGTCGGCCTCCTGCTGCGCTTGGCCGGGCGGGCGAAGGGGCCTTGCAAGGACCTGGCCGCGTGGGCTGAGCCTGAGGCACGGGGCCCGCGGGTG